CGATGGGGGAGGTCGCCTCTCTGCGCGGTCACATGCGACGGCCAAGACCTGCACCCCGGCGTGGTCGCCCGGGTCTGTGGGGCCTCTGAGCGAAAGCTCTTTGGCAAAACGGCGAGACTACTGCGTGCCGGGTCGGTCGGCTCGGTGCGTGGTCCCATGCGACGGCCAACACCTGGGGTCCGGAGTGGTTGTCCGGGCCTTCGGGGCCTATGGAGGAAACTCCACTGGCGGAACAGCAAGACCACTGCGCGGCGGGGAGGTCGCCTCGGTGTGCAGTTACATGCGACGGCCAACACCTTCGGCTCGAGTTGTCACGGTCGCTCGGGATTGGAGGGCCTGTGGGGGAAACTTCATTGGCGCAAAGCGAGACTGTGTCACCGCCTTGGGTTCGATGATCGGCCTGGGGCGGTGGTGTCCTCACGGATGGACAGCGACGATCAGAAATACAAAACTCATACACATGTGGACTGCTTCATCTTCTTCGATTTGTATCGTGGCCCTTTGTATTCTCCTTGCGACAGAATGGGTATATTGGATTATCACGCAGGAACATTTGTTTCACTAGTTCGAACGGGTAGGGGCGAAACAGTAGCTATAAGTTACGTCACAAGGCATGTGCACGTCATACATCAAAGCCCAGTTAGGTTCTTGATAGTAGAAAATGCACATTCTATATTTCTGTTTCCCCAACCTTTCGGTTGAGCCATGTAGTCTTCCACGACGCGTTCTGAAATTAGCGGCTGCGTCAAGAACAGGGTAGATCTAAGACACTCTTGATCTTCCACATCGAGTCCAGCTGCTCGAGCTGTAAACACCGCTCAGAGGGACCTATCGTTCATATAAGAAGGGATGTACCAGTTTCAAGAATCCCTCTTCGCGGACAACCTTGGCGACTACTTCCTCGAGGTCTCCACGCGACAGATCATAGAGTGAGGGCGTCTCCTCGAGGCAGGCTAGAATACGCTGAGAAGTAGGAGATATGTTCTCTTTCGCTGCAGTCTGTTGTATTGGCGCAGGTATCGGCTCGGTTGGACTGGGTGCAGTTGGCGCAAGAGAGAGCGTTTCTTCTGGTGCGCTAGAAGTAGGATGCGTAGGCGTTGAGGCATATGAGTTCTCTACGGTGCCATGAAGCGTGGTTGAAGCACGCCTAGAGTAGCTGTTCTCACTAGACGCCATAGAAATGTGCGAAGGTTCAGAACTAGGATGGGCTGAGTATAAGTGTCGTTGAGATGGCGAAGGCCCTTGGTGCGGATCGGAGCTCGTCAGGATTGAAGGAACGTGCTCCCCAGTGACCAGAGGAGCTCGAGGGTAATAAAGACTGGTATCAGCTGAGTAGTTCACTGAACTTGAAGATGCTGTGATGGCAGAGGTAGGACGGGAATCGTTGTCACTATCTAGAGCAGGCAGTACGCTAGCGCGACCGGATTTCCTTACTGAGTTATCGCTATTGCCATACTGCGTGAAAGCGCTGAGGTTCGTTGAAGACGAGTCCCAGGGCGATACGGACGTGTTAATAGGAAGACGCTGGCGTTCGGAGGATGCAGTACTGGAGCGCGGCAGCAGAGACGTCACAGGAGTGCATGCATTGAATGGCGGAGGCTGGTCCCAAGGACGCTGAGTAGCAGAGGAAAGAAGAACGTCACGTTGCTGAGAGGGCGTTTCTGGAGCGAAACTAAGATGGCTAGACATGCTAGATCCATGGGGAACCTGCATGCGCCCAAATCCGGGGGGAACAGAAGGTCTTGGGATTCCCGATGCAGTGTCACCAACGGGCGGCCCCATGACGGATGCTTGGACCATCGTAGCAGCCCTGTTGATAGTGCGGCTGACCGGGGGTACCTGATTAGCTTTGCACGGGCAGACAAATTTGATCGACTCGATGAAACAAGTGGCTTGAGAGGCGGACTGAAATGTTATCTGAAAGCGTCTGTAGGACTGCGCAGCAATTTAAAAAGGTACCTGACATTGTGGGATCGACTATATGCGTACCGGTGTTGCTCCTGCGGGGACAATACGCGGGTGAAGATAACGGATTCCAATCACAGCATCGCGGTAGACAGCCTTGAGTGGTAGGCCTTGAGATGTGATGATCCTGTCTTTCAAGAGAGGGATAGAGGAAAATGCGAGAAGATCAAGGTCTTCCTATATGATATATCAGCTAAAGCATCTGCTGCGACCGAAAAGCTCTCGAGCTCACAAATACAACTTCGCGTTGGTCAACATCCATGCAGTCGTTGCTAGCTTGTAGTGTCCAAAGAATCCGAGTCCTGAAATTTTCCAGGTCGCCGCTCGAGGCTTTCTTCACATCGACTACAAGACGAATGACCGGATTAGTGAAATGCTGCCATTCTTGATCCAGCTGGTCGGATCCAGCTGCCTGAGGATATGACCGTGAATACTTGACGAGATTGTACGTGGTTGTTGCCGTGGTTGAGCGAGACATGTTTGTAGGATATGCTCTCAATAACAAGTTGGTTTATCAAGCACTTATCATGCTAGATTGGCAAGGAACGAGGTACGCGACGCGGTCACGAGCATACTGCCTAGTTAAGGGCAGGTCATGACGCGCATACCCGCGTCTCTAAGATCAAGTAACTAATATACATAACGAGGTATCCAATTGACTAGCAGTGTTATACAACAATTGTGGAATGCCTCATTCAGATAAATCTAGGAAGAACGGCAATAAATCCTGACAGGCTCATGCCTGATAGGATTTACTACCACCTATGTCGGGTCTGATGCCAGGCTCAATGGAGGACATGAGTGCCTCAGACCAACCGGCAGCGAGCATGGCTGAAGTCTTCTTATCCTCCTTGTATTCGCTGAGGTCGATGAGCGAGAACCAGAGAAAGCGCATCAAATCGTAGAATTGGATGATGATGTGGACTGTGTGATCGCCTCGGTTGTCGTTCTTCCAATCCTCTATCTGCTCCTCAGTAGCATCCAGTTCGTGGAACCTCTCGACAACCTCATCTCGGGTGAAAATTGTGCCTCCTAGCATCTGAGCATATGTCCATGCAAACCCAGCCATATCAGATGTTGAAGGGAGTTGCCAATCAGACAGCTCTGCTAACCTTGAAAGACTGCTCGAGGATGAGCGCAGAAGGGCTCCGTTCAACCTCGATGTACATGCTGTGAGGTTCTATCAGCTACAACCCTTGACATATTGATATAAGATTATAGTACCAATGTGTCGCAAGACGATCGTCGGGGTGGTTGGCGAGGTCGAACGCAAAGGGCGCGATTGTCGTAAGGGTATTCCGCCAGCAATCCAGCCATTTGGTGAAGTCTTTGTCCAGATTCTTCGCATCGTGGTCCTGTGAAAGGGCGCTCATGTAATTAAACCCTGTTTTGCAACGTTGCTTGTGAGTTGGCCAAGCCGCTTTCTGGCATTCTCTCGAGCAGTAGCGGACCATTCTGAGCAAACACAGCCGTGTACTTAGTCTCAGGCTGATGACCACTGCAGTTGCGAAATCCCAATAGCGTACCGACAATGGCCGCATAGCTTCAAGTTTACTTAGCCCACTTTCTTGAGGCAATAAGCACATTTCTCGTTATGATCGGTGACATTGGTGGGGCTGATGGTGGAGGTCATAGCGGAAATAGAGGCACCAAGATATCAGGACTCGACGAGCTGCAGGCAGCAGCGTAAAAGGGTGGAGGCTACGGCGAGGCGCTGAAGCCAGCTAAGCGACGCATATCATCATTATGCGTACTTTCTCGGCTCGCAGTGAGTGGAGTGAAGTCCTTTCGCAGTCATAGCATCAAACACATCTATTGCACATACATAATAAATGTAACATACACACGATCAAGCCTACGGATATTCGATTCAATCATAAGCTAGAAGCAGAGCACACAGACAGGTAGTATAGAGTTGCGGCTATCCAAAGCCTACACATTCGCTATAAATCGACGTACTCACACAGAGATCCATTTGGGATCGGAAATAGTTAAATAATACGATTATCCCTACAACCCGGCCTTCAAGGTAAGAACAGTCCGTGTCGCATGGAAGGCCACACGCATGAAGTGGAAGCAAGCCCAGAGCAAACCAACTATGGGGTTGAGACGTCAGCATCATGGAGACGCGAGAAAGAAGGAAAAACGTACTGATAAGAATTGGAATCCAGAACAATACCAGCATTCGATCATCTAAGTAGTAGTCCTGAGTAGCCGCAAAGAAGGTTCAAATGAAGTCACATACGTTTCTTTTGCTTGCGAGATGGCTTGTGCGGTCGGTACGCAAACGCTTGCATTTCTTCCTCGGGGAGAGGGACTGTTTGGTAGCCTACCGCGCGGGACACATGTCGATCAACGACAGAGCGCGACGCGACGGCGCTGCATGCAGCAAGCACTTCCTTCTCCTTTGACGATGAGGGGATAGGTTCCGCCACATCAGCGCTCCTGGGGGTGTACGCAGGAGGGGCATCGGACATGTCCTCGGCCTGCCTGGCGGAGAGGGTGGCCTGCGTCGTCCATTTCTCCACGAACGCACGCCAATCTTGACTGGTCGGAATGGCACGCCACGGTTGGCCGTTCGCGCCTTTCGCCTCGCCATGCTGCCCCCTTCCCTCACCACGCTTGTCGCCCCACAAGGCCGACAAAGCCGGAATGGGCACTAGAACGGGGAAGACGGCGGGCATCTGTGGCAGTGCGTTCCAAGCACCTGGGAGATTGGGAAGGTGAGGCAGCGGCAGGTTCTGCATGTTCGCAATCATGTCTTGAGGATGTTGCCACTGCATCAACGTGCGAGAGAGCATCTCCATGAAAGACGCCACTTGCTTCTCGTCCGGCATGCCTGCCTCGAGAGCCTTCTTCGACTCCAATGGACGCGCAACAGTGTCATCCTGTCGTTTCTGGTCGTCTTGTGACGGGAGATGCGCTGACCGCCGCCTCCGCAAGCCCGATCTGCGATCGACGTGGCGTCTGGGAGTATGTCTAGCCTCCATTTCGTCCTCAGAGTCCACGTCTGCCCAAGCAGCCTCCTCTTCTTCCTGAGTGTCACAGTCGGCGACGTCGCCAACGGAAGTCGTGAAGTCGAAGAATCCAGAGGGCACAATTTCCACCGGCGTCTTCCCTAGCGCATCAACGACATCTAGCGCCGCACCTGCCTGAACGAGTACCCTCGCGCATTCGGAGGATCGGGCCACAGCTGCCAAGAATAGCGCGGTGCACCCATTCTTGTCGCGTGCGTCCAGGTCGATCCCATGGGCAATCAAAAACTTGACAAGGGCAGGGAAGTTAGCCATAGTTGATAGATGCAACAGTGTGTGCCCGTTAGCGGTCGAGTGCGAGATCGATGAGGACACTGATAGGGCGGCACTGTCAAGTGGGACATCGAGAATGGAAAGGAAGTCAATGAGGACTCGCTCGAAATCTCCGTCACTTCCAGCGCGGCTGAGGAGGAGATGACGGAAATCAGGAGTAGGTCCAACTTCGTTGGCAAGTTGCATGGCGTTGCTGGTTCCCATCCCGGAATTCGCATCACCATCGGTGTTGCCAACAATGCGCATAGCAACATTTCTCGCATCTTCGATCTTGCCCGTCATCTTTAGCCCGACGACTTGTAAGGCAAGCTCCATTCTGCGACGCGAACATATCATCCAACATCAGTAAATGCACCAGAAAATAACAACAATGACGCACAAAGCTTTGTCCGTCTCGTCAGTGTAGGTAAAGAGGCATGGAAGAGATCCTTCTTCTTCTTTCTGAAGACCATCGAACCACACCGGCACTGCACCAGGGGTAGCACTCGGTGGTAACATACACACCAGTGTGTTATCGCTCCACCTTTGCGTAGACGTCGATGGTGTGCCGCCAAAGGTGCAATTTAACTGCATAGTGGGATGGAAGTTCGCACCAAGCACTGTCACCTCGATGCCACCAAACGTAGGCCCAGAAGCAGGGATGAGGCGGTGGATTCGAGGCGCGGGTAAGCTAGACATCGGCAGCGGAGGATTCTGGCCGAAGAGCATGAACGACGGCGTTCCGGAGGAAATGTTGAGGATCTGAGACGGGGATGTCGAAGGCGAATTCGGGAGGAACGCATCGGCGAACTGCTGCAGCGACATCGAACCATGGTCAAACTGTTGCGCCATCGCAACAGCCGGATCCACAGAAGAGGTAGACAAGTGACTAGAAAGAGGGGAAGAGAAGTCGAAGACAGAGGTAAGTGGATCAGGCCCGTCGCATTGAATGTCGCTGCTGCCAAGCTGGGAAGGTGCCGGCACTTGGGCAGAGGACATAGACGGGGAGACAGGAGACGATGCAAAGGTGCTCAAAGGCGATGGCGAGCGCGTCCCCACCGCAGATGCTACATTGGGCGGGGAATCCAGGCTACCGTCGCTGCCTCTTCGGACGGTGCGTCCCGTACTACGAGCAAGATCATATGGCTTCGTGCGCTTCGCCGATCGATCAGACACGAGAGGCTTCTTGCGCTTCGCAGATACGGCTGCCTCAGAGGAGTCGCAGGCAGCGCCTAGTACCCAATCCGGACTCAGTCTAACGTCGCCATTGAGTGCCGCTTGAGCTACTTTCTGAGCGCTAGCCCCGGTAGTCTTGTGGTCGTCCGTGATCATGATCGGCCTTGTCGTCCCTATTCCAACAGTGCGCCCTGCGTGATCGAGCATCTTGAAATGCACGTTGAAGCCATTCTTCTCACGGTGATGTCGACAGTAGCAAGTGATACGCAGAGGGAGAATGGCTGAGCCTGCAGAAAAGTCGAGGACTTCTGGACAATTGAATTGGACAATGTTCGAAGTATCCTCATGTCGACCTCTACCAGGGATCATCGGCGCCTCGTCTTGCGACTCGGTGTCGGACCGAGCAGGCCTCACTCGTGCCGCTATTTTGCGTGCGACGCGTTTTGCCTAGCACAATGAGGTCAACAATGACGCAGGCATATGGCGAAAGGCGAACGTACCTCTCGTGCCTGGCAGCTGGAGCAACAGGTCACTCGTGTATGTGGCGCGGATGAGCACGTCACCTCAGCGGTCAGATACAGTGTATCTTCTAGTGGTGCGTCTAATGGACAGACGGCTGGCTCAATACTACGCCGATGACTAAACGGGCCTGACTCACCGACTTTGCCCTCCTTGCGAGTCCTCCTCTTGGTTGAAGTACCTCGAGGCAGTCTTAGCCATTTCCAGGAACCAACCCTGTCGTACTTGAGAGGTTCCCCAGTGGAGGCACTAGCATGAGCCAAATCGACGGTCAAGCGGACTTGCGTCTCAACCCTTGACTTTGTGCCTCCTTCGGGTATGCTCGGTATTATGATCGGTAGGCTAGGGAGTTGTCAATGACTGATGCCGACCCAATGGGGATATGAACATACTTGTAACATGTCTCCTTAGGAGGAAAGACGACACGTTGCGAATTGAGCGAGGGATCCGGCCGCGGCTGGGAGGGTGGTGGTGGGACTGGCTTCGTGAAGGAGATATGTGCACCCAGGCTAGCCGGATTGTACCCCAGTTGTAGCGATAGTTTTGACGTATCCAGCGTAGCATTCCTCTCAGGCAATGCTAAGTTCGTGCTGCGAGACACACTTGTTCAAAGTTTGATCCAATAACGCGTAGAAAAAAAGCGGAAAAAAGCACCTGTCAAAGGCTCCATCATGCAGCAGGTCCTCCAGCTCGAGGATTTGAGGCGCATCGGGCTTCCCGGTGTGGTGGTTGTGCGGTTCGTCTCCTGGGGGATATTGAGACGGCGAAAGGGAGGAATACCATGCAGAAAGATCGCCCCGGTGAAGCGCAGAGTCGAAACTGTCCATCGACTCCGGCGTCGCGGGGGACGGCGAGGGCGACCTGGAACAGGACGAGGAGGACATGAGAGCAAGAGGACTGAGGTCGTAGTAGCGCAGGTCTCCACATAGTCCCTCCATCACGAGCGCGGCAGCTGCGATTATGTAAGCCAATGTGGGAACGTGGTGGGAGATTTCCGCTGACCTCGCGATCGGTCTTATAGCCGTCCTGCAAGCTCGGTCCATCACGCCACAGACCTTCATGCGGCTGCGACCTGTGGCGGCATTCCACCGCCAATGTCAGCGCGTATTGGCGGTCTCGAGCTACTACCATGCTTCATGTCGGTGCCTTTCTCGCTTCGAAGCTTCACAACTCCAAGACTACTACTGCATTCAGGACATATACACTGGCCGAGCTCCACTCCTAAACAACACGCATGCGGTAATCCTCCGAATACCTGATAAGAAATCTTCTCTAGTTGCCTCGGCCAATGAAGCTTCGGCAGCCGTATCGTCGCCCCGAAGGCTTTTTCGCCAAAGTTCGCCCGAGCTAGGATCCCAGCCACGTCGTGTGTCTTGATCATCCTGCTGGTAGCGCGGGTTGTTGTGTTCCATATTCGGCGTGACGCGTAATGACTGACGCAAACGCGCGATCACTGTTGGGGATACCTCCTTCAAGGGTCGCTCATCTATCTCTATATGGAACACATTGCGTCGAAGTTCAGACGTATGCACGTACGCATCTCCGGGTCAGATCCGGGCTTGTGCTTCAGACAGATTGACAAAACGCCGTGCGCTCAAAACAAGCTGTGAATCAGAATATGTTAGCGCATGTGCTCAGTAAGCTTAAATAGTGTGGGATAGAAGTCATGCTTCTGAGCTCTTGTGTCTTTGGCATTGCTGCTGCTGCTGCGCCACAGTATGTTCAGAAACATGCATTTATGCTGGTTTTCATGCTTCACATTCCCATATATGCATATTACTTCCGATCCGGATTGCAAACGTCAGCAATATCCATCGTCAGTGCCGATCCCTGACGAAACACTTCAACGGGCAGAACCTCCCAGGCTTTATCAGCCTTAAGCTCAGGCTACAGAGCAGGTGCTCTGTGACCACAGTCCTATCTGCACTAATGCACTCTACGCACTGGCATAGGCCTCTCACGGCATAAACATTATTCTCCGTATGCTCGCATTGTTTACTAGACAGATGGTGTTCATCGCTGACATTGGTCGAAGCACATCGGTCTCGTCTTTATTATAGGTCTGATTGCACCCGCTCGGTGCCTGCCCCTTCACCCTCTGCGTCTTCATTCAGCAGCAATTCGTGCACGCTTTCCAGCCCCACATCGCGCAGAATATTCCCGACGCCTTCGGACTTAACAGCCTCAAGTTCTTGCTCGCTTTTGACAAGCAGCATACCAGCGAAGCCCAGGGCGTTTACACTGAGCGGCTCGCCGGTCTCGCTCAGCGTGTGGTTATCTTTCTTCCTCGGGATAAGATGCATATGCTCCAGGGTGAGCACGACGTTAAAGGAAGGCGTCCCGGGGGGATAATCCGGGTCTCGGCGCACGGTCGAGATAACCAGATCCAGTAATGCGAGGAACGCATCCGCAAGCGCGCTCTCGAGTGCTTCGTTGGTAGCCGAGGCGAGGTTGGGAGGAAATCGACGGACGTGATTAGCGTATGACAGCTCGTTCAGGGCGAACGGTCGGTCTGCATCGACAGTTTATCATAACTTCCGCCGGTGTCGCGAAAGACGCACCTGGGTAATCCACCTTCGTGGCTCGTGCGAGTTTCTCAACAGGAGGGCCATCGTCCTCCAGGGGAATCAACTGGACATGTTTATGTGGCTGGCTGGCGCCACTAAGATTGCCGCCTAGGGACATACGCGCGTCAGCGTCAGAGCCTAGATGTGCGGGAGACCTGCGGACAATTATAAAATGCGAAGAAGCGTCTACCCGTCCTTTGCGCAGCGATGAGTAGCTTGTACGTTTGCACCAGGTCTCCGGGGCGTAGCGGTGATGTCTGAGACTGGTAGTCTGTGCCGGTATAACTCCTTCAGCGTATCAGGTTATACCGATGCATCATGTTCGTACCCTTCGTGACCAGAAGAAAATGGTTGGGGACCACGGAATATTTGTTAAGCTGCCAACGGCATTCCATTTGTCAGCCTTCCCTGCCGGATGTTCATGATACCACGAACCAAGATGATATATTCGGCGTCTTCCGGTTCATCCCGCAGCTCCCCCAGGTATAAATTCGGGACATACGGAGGAGCGAACGGGTCAGGCTTCTCAGGCTGCAATTGGACCGCGGTATCGAAGTGCGGCGCGGGCAGTTGAGGCTTCTTCTGCAAAGCAGGACACAATCGTATTTCGAGCTACACGGAAATAACCTCCCCTGGATATCAGAAAGTGGAGCGGACTGGCGGAGCACCAACCTCCACACCAAACTCGGAGTGTTTGTGCACTGTCGACGGGAAGAAGAGTAGATCTCCCGATTCACGGGCCTTATCGAACCTGTCCGGCAAGCAGGAGATGATTTCGAAATGAGTCTGAGGCATTGCAGTAGAGTCCGAAGAGGTGGAGAAAGTGCGGATGCCACTGCCAGATAGCCTTACCCAGGCAAGTGCAGCAAGTGGGAGTCGGTATCTTGTTGCGGCTGGGACAGATCGGGAAAGCGTACGGCAGGCAGAACGAGGATAGCCTGATCGTCCCGATTGGAAGATGCTCAGAACGCCAATTGGCCAGTGCCGAGCAATCGGTGAGGTCACCATTATCACGTAGACGCGTTTGTATACCGAGTAGCAGCTCCGACTTTGAGCGCTCAGGGTATTCTGCCAGGGTCAATTTCTGATGTGGCCGGTTCGACATACTCCACAACGTCTTTTCTACATACAGCATTTGACCGCTTTCCGAACTGCAATCGGCCGTTCCAATCGGCCACAGGTCGACATTGATTCGACTACACGGTACAACGAGAAGATACAACAGCGGCGCAATGGTGAAAGACACTTCTAAGGACAAACGTTCGCTGAACGAGAATGATAACGGCGAGAGGGCAAATGCACCGGACAGAGAAGCTAGCGAATTCCGAGTTACAAGCCGAGACAGCCGCACCTTTCGCTAGATGAACATGTGAAAAGAGCGACGAAAAGAACGTAATGAAAGAATAATGTGATCTGTGATAGCTGAACCAGCCCGGCGTGCGGGAAGCCTGTCCTCTGAGAAGTAGTCGTGCTAGGCATGTCCGCCTCTTCCTTTATTGTTCTTCGCCTCTTCCAACGTCTCTCCGAGCATCATGGCACGAGTGTACCCCACCGCGGCGATGAGAGAATACATTGCCGCATTTGTGCCCTATCGTGCAATCACCCTCAGCAATTGATATTAGCTCATACAAATTATATAGAACACACCTGATAGAATAATACTGCTATAAATGCCTGCAATATCAATCCGACAATCCGGACGACGAAGCTTCTTTGGATGGCGGTTCCCTTCAAAAATGGCGCAGGATATTCGAGAGCGACCATCATCATCCCAAAGGCCATGGCTAGAATCTGGATGATCGGCGCCTTCACAATTATATCAATGAAGAATGAAACATTGTTGGCGGGTCTGTCAAACGGTAAGGGAGCTGACATATTGCAACCATGTGTAGCACGCACTGGAGTCCTCCAGGGTCGCGCAAAGTGCCGCCGATGAAGTCCCAGAAGAATTTGCGGAACCAAAAGCCCCAGAAGCTCGCCCAGATAACATCTTGTATGCATAAATGGTTAGTCGCCCATGCAAGTGGCCAATTGTGGCACTTACAAACACTGGCGGTAAGGGTGACATAGCGAGACCACTCGTGCCAGATTAAGTTGCCCATGGTGCCCGTCTGTTGGTTGAGAGAATACTGATGGCCGTGGAAGAGGGCGAGGAAGAGGAAATGCGGAAGACTGTTCTCTTGACTTGAAGGAACTGTAGAGGACAGGTAGGCCTGCTTCGAGCGAGCGGAAGAACGAGTCAAGAACCAGTGGTTCCAGCGAGCTCAGCTCGACCAACGAGAAGAAAGGTGGAAGGAGGGAAAGGGGAAGGGAAAGCGCAATGCACACAGCTGTAAGGGAACCATCAGCATATAGCCCCGGCGTTCATATAGACTGTGACCGAGAGCATGTCACCACGTTACCGTCGCGAAGACAACAACGGCCACAGATCGAGATCGTCATATCATGTCACACCCGCACTTTGATCAGGCCATGCAAACAATTGGACAATTGTATAAGTACAGCATAGCGAGCATGCAAGCAATCGACAAAAGGCTCAGTTTTAACGTAGAGCCACTCGGGCTGAGGGTGTATCTGCGAAGCCTCCGAAACTATCTCATCGTTTCAATGAACGAACAGGTGACGGTTGTCATCGCGGCAGGATGTCTGGACATCTTTTTTGGATAGCGCGCGAATATAGACCACAATCGAGCTTGTATTTGGCTGATAGCTGCTGCATCTGGCATGTCAAGAGCATCAAATCATAGGAGTGTCAAACTGTCGTAATGTACACTGCCGCTGCCACCACTGTAGCCGTCGGGTATATTTCAGGTATGACAGTCGGGATCACAGTCAAAGCTCCTCGATGAATGCTATGGCCAAATTTGTGCAGAGGATGGTGGCTTATCGTTCCAATCTGCCTTCAATGGCAGGAATCACTCGCACGGTGAGGTTCAACGACGTTCAAAGCATCAAGAGTACAAATGTAAATAGAAGCTTGTTAGAACTATACCAAAGGCCGCGGCTCGAAGTAGTACTGCATCACACTGAACCCCAAGGTAGGTCTGCCCGGACGCACAGGCGCAGTCTAAGCATACAGCCATCAGTACTGCAATCCAATTGGGCATTGCACATCCCTCACCTTCGGGGCGTCTGATACACGCGTAGGACGCAGCACCACTTCCGACACCCCCTGCCTCACCTCTTCGTTCACTACAGTCGATGTGTCTGACGGGTTCCGGGTGTGGGTGCTATCCGTGTCTCGTTGAGGGGGAGGGGGACGGGGAGGGGCCCAGTCGGGCGGTGCCACCAGCCCCGCGGTCTTCCACTTGGGCATATACGGTTCGTGGACCTCCAATGTGGACGATGAGTCATACGACCCCCGCGACCAGCGCGTCACGTGCGTCGCAGTTGTAACGCGCTTCCCCATTGCGTCGAGTTCCGCGTAGACCTGCGCCTCGGCCTGCCGCATGTGTATTTGCCTCTCGGTGGAGTTCGGCGTTCGCTCGTATCCATAAGCAGCTTCGAGGTCGGGGTCGTATTGTATGGGGAGATCGGGCGTGAGGTCAGTTGGCATGATAGGGCGGGAGATAGCGAGGGTCTGGGGCCGGCCACGCCTGCATCGGAGGAGGAAGAACAGGAGGAGCAGGAGCGCAAGAAGACCAAGCAGGCTCCCGATGACAATTCCGGCAATTGCACCGGTGGAGAGCCGAGATGCGCTATCTGTAGCAGCACTACTGCCACCTACAATTAACGAAGGTTCAACGCGAAGGGGAACTGCTTACTGGCTATTGTTCTTGCTGTTAACCACGTTCAATGGCATACCCGTAGAAGTGGCACTGATACTGAGGGTGCTGCTCGGATCAGAGGTGGAGCTGGTGCCGCTCGACTGGCCACTGGTCGTCGGACCAGGAACCGTGGAGTCGCTAGAAGAGCCATACACACGCACGAAGTCGACATCAACATACTTTCCAGTGTCCTTTCCTGGATTGCCAGTGATCACCAGACTGTGTTCCTTCGTGCCGAGGTTCTGCGCGAAGAACTGGTGTCTCATTCAGGGATTGAACTCGAGCGATGATGTCACGGACTACACACCAGTAAAGTCTATCGATTCGTATTTAGTCGTGCCACACACTATGAAAATTGCTAAATATATACCTGAGAATGGAAATCTTGGACACTGCTGCTGGCGTCGAATTCTTGCGAGGTATGGCCATCCACAGTGATTGTGTAGTTGGCGTGCTGAGGCGACACGGTGCCAAATACAGCAATGGCATCGCCGGAGAACGAGAGCGATGCCTGGGCGCCTTGTGTACGCGAATAGCTGATATTAACGAGTTGTGGCGTTAGCTCAGTATGATTAGACTATGGACTTACTGGAGAGAGTTGTTGAAGAAGCTGGAGTATGAATCAAGCGCCCAGTCTGAAATATTGGGTCCATATGTGAAGGTTGAGTTCATATCGTCAATAGTGGAGCTGATCATTGAGTCGCTAAGACCAGGTCAGCAATCCTAGATCGGATGCCCCGCGGACGGCGACAGGCGTAGAGCGAGCCGATTCACACTCGCAGCAATCCACGAACACGTAGTCGCATATCACTGGCTCAATTCGACATTTACAGTAGATACATGCGATACGAGAATCCTTGGACGCCACCACGGGGTGGAACCAGACCAGCCTTCGCAACAAGATTTGCGCAGATACTCGTGTAACACGCCGCCGTCCGCGAAGAGAAGAAACTGGACATACCCACTGGCGCCCACAGTCGTCTCGAAGACCATTGTATCCAGATCGATGGGTCCATTACCGGCATTCTTCAGCTGCACTGTATGCTCTCCCATCGGCAGCCCCGAGATCCCTGCTAAGATATGCCCGAGCTCCGGGTCCGCTGCGCGTGCATCACCTTGCAGTACCTGCACACCATCGACCAAAAAGGTATAGAAGCCATAGTCGGGCCTCAAACCGCCGTAAAGCCAGACGCCCGTGCCATTGAACGAGAAGTGAGCAGCAGCGCCATCGACAGCAGTCGTATGCAGAGAGCCAGCCGAGTAGAATTTCGTGAGAGTGTCGTTAGCCGGAGTGTCAAGCCAAACATTAGGAGGTGAGTACGATATAAGGGGCGAACTGTCATCGACTGCAGGGCGCAATTCGAGGTCAGCAAAACGTCTTGGTGATATCCAATAGTTGGGAGACCTACGCGAGACGTTAAATGCAGCCATCAAGGCCGACTACACCAGGAGAGTCCTGAAGAAAAGATAATTAAGGCTCTGCCCTGCAGAGGGGAGAAGGCGAACGTCGTCGAGAGTCGTCGATGGCCGTGGGGGGCGACCAAAGGGCGACCAACGTCAGTCATCAGGCTTTTGTATCACCGCGCTGGTCACAGCCACCGATGTCACGGATCATCGCGTTGGTGTGGGGTTTCATCCGCCTGCTTGATGGCACCGAACCGCATATTTGTATCTCGTAGGTTGGGGCAATTCTGTAGCAGCGATGAATGGCATGGCTCGTTATGAGACTGCAGACGAGGTCCGGATAAAAGAGTATGGTAAGGCGCAAGCTCAGGCTGTATCTATAGTGATGATGGAAGGAATACTGATTGCACCCGATCAAACGCGACGCAGCATAATGAAACGCGACGCACGTGATTAGCAACGCTTCGCATTCCGATATAGACCTCCATTGTTGCGAGGGATTAGATTATTTGTCTGTCTTCAATCCCATCCTGTTCTTAGTTCTGGCTGTATCCTAGTATGCCGCCAGCGAAAGGCAAACCTGCGTTGTCGACTTCACGCGATCTCGTGCCCGTGGGGCCTCGAGAGGTTTTCGCGAAAAACCTGAGCAGACGAGACGAGAACGGCAACAAGCCGCTCACTGCTCGTGCCCTCGTTTTGCGGAACGGCAAATATGGGGCGCGAGGAACTGGAGAACTCATGGCGATGGGGAGGATGAGCGGCAGGGAGAAGCTTGATCTCTTGTCCGGTACGCCTGGCCGCACAGAAACTACTCCCTGCCACTTACAAATGTGCCAACCGTTTAAACAATAGAGGATCTTATTGAACGCTCCAAGACGGCTATCGGAACACCTTTTCGTCTCGAGAGATGTATCAACATTGCAGATTCTCAACTTGCCGGTGTGCTGAACGTGTTACACTGCTTCTAAATCGCGGTTAACATTGTCGTCTGTGATACCCAGCGAATTTGGATGAGATAAATGACCTGCAGGATCCGGATCTTTTCTACAACAAGATCAAGGCGGAGGTAGAAGCTCGTACGCCCCAAACTCCAAGCAAGAGTGTATCTGACCTCCTCCGCAATGCGAGTTATGTTGCATCTATCGTTGCCGCTAGGTATAACGTGTATTCTCTATCGAGGGTGTTTCTCAGATACTGAATCCACGTAATTTGTTTGATCTTGTAGAATACACAATGCATATATGCTGGCATCAGCTTGGAGGCTTGTCGGGGACACACTTCGCGAGCTATCTGAGGCCGGAGTCCAGGATACCACCGTCAAGACATATCTCGGGAAGAATGCCAACATACGAGCCAAATATCTCGTCCTCTACGATATTGTGAATATTGTTGCCCAGGCTGGCCAATCAAAGTTTGCGCTTCTTGCTACCACGGCCCGTAAGCAGTCTTCTTTTTAGTTCCCACCGTCCCAAAGCAGTTATATTCATCATGTCGAATCAGCACACTACTCCCAATACTTTAAGAGATTCGAAGATAGCGAAACGGGCGAACTGGAATATGTTTTTGATTGGGCCTACCTGAAAGATATGCACAAGTCTTTCATCGACTCCATCATTGTGGAGCTCTGTCTACCGCAGTCACCACTGCCAAGACAGATATTGTTTCAGATTCTCCATGAAGCCATCGAAGAATCCCCTCGTGAGGCAAAGCGCTTCCCGCAAGCAGTTTGGGACGCTGTTGGCGATTTGTCGGTGGGTATCCCAAAAATCTTCCGCCAGCGGCGTCAGAGAGGCGTCTTTGGCCGATCACTCACCTAGTCGGCACTCGACGATAGGTCATAGTACAGCTCCAGGAGTACTTAGAAAGCCCGCTGCTCGGCGCTGAAGGCGATGCGTGGAAAAAGCAACCCCGTGAGATGCCGGAAGAATACGAGGATTGGGTTGATGCGCAGATCTTCTCCGAGAAGGCATCGAAGATGTACGCAAACTTCAAGGACACTATCTACCCGCTCGAAAAGACCAAGTTTGCGTACGTCCTCGATAATATGTGGAAGTTTGTCAATCTGGTGAGTTGTGCTCGGTTGCAGCGCTCGTCATCATCCGCCATGTCGGACGAATCCCGCCGTTGATTGTCCGTGTGTCAATTAGAGTTACAAAGAAGTCTGCGGCAAGGACATCGATTCCTTGTGGCAGCTGGAGGACGTAAAACAAATGGCACCTCAGTGGCATGCGTTCTATGTAGCCGGAAGCAAAAGGCGCGGTAGCGGCGACGAGTCAGACGACGACGACATGCCCGGCCTACTGCCAGTCAAGAGCAAAGGCAAGGCCAGTGGTAAAAATCCGCCTCGTCTCGCCATCACCAACGGGGATGGTGAAAGTGATGCGTCCATGCCATCGCTGCAGACTGTCTCTGACTCCTCGGATGAGGATGAGTCCGACGATGAAGGCGATTACGATGATTACAGCGACGATGATGACCACAAGACTGAGTCCGAGAGCGGATACGATACAGACGACGAAGATGCCCTACGCGACATGCTCCGGGAGGCCATGGACGCAGCAATGGCCACCCCCGACTTCTTCGATCCCAAGAGCGCGGCGCTGGAGTTCGACGAACTCACGGAAGATCGCAAGGGCAACCCGTTTTTGAAGCTGTTAGGATCTCTGCGAGGTTCGTGAAGTGAGCCGCGTACATTTCTGAGGTGCTTACCGACCCTTACTCAGGGCGTATGTTCTCCTCGAATCCCACCCTGAGGACCACGGACCGTACGGAGCCTCGGAGGCCCTACGCTTCTGGAAAGTCGTCGGCGGCGCCTTCAAAGAAGACGGCCTCATCACCGGCTCAAGGCGCTCAGAAGCCCGCCTCAACACCGACTTCAGATATCGGTGAGATTGTGTCTTGGCCGTGACTGATTACTCGCTCACTCGTTACGTTGCAGCACAAGCACATAGTCGCAAGACGACTATTGAGGATGTGGTGGATGAGGATGACGCATCTACATCTACCGCCAAAAAGAAGAAGAAGAAGCCCAGGAAGAAGAAAAGGCCTGCCACTGCGGCAAGCACCCAGGAGACATTGGCTGAGCAGCCGGCACCTCAATCCCCCACGGTGTCACTGCCGACCAGGCCTATTACCCCTAGTACGCCGAAGACCGCCTCCACCATCTCTACCAGTCATGGCGCGCCCGCTTCGCCCGGAAAAAAGAAGACTACTCCCAGGCCGACTCAGAATCCCTTGCATAATCCGTCTATCAACACCAGCATCAACAGCTCGGCCACGACTCTACCACACCTGTCGACGACGTCTCTACCGCTGCCACAGTCCGCCCAGTCCGCCCATAAATACATGCGAACGGAGGGTCTCGTCACGAAGCTAAAGGAGAAGGTCAAATCCCGACCGGAGTCTAACAGCCTCGAGCTTATTCCGGAGAAGAAGGGTTTCTTTAGTCGCTTCAAGAAGGATAAGACAGCCGAGGAGGAGGAGGGGAAGAACGGCAGCAAATTCAGCTACTTCTCGAAGTTGTCCAAGAAGACGGCGACATATATGCATCAGCTGCTGCAGACGTCTGAGGACGAGAAGAAAGGTCTTGCGCCCATGAAGTGGGAGAACTTCCTGAAGGTAGAGCAGGCTTCTAGATACGTTCGCGGCAAGCTGACTATTGGTTCCCAGGTCATGCGGGAGATGGGCTTTTCTTACGACCCAAGTACTGCTGGGTCTAGTGTTAGGTTTGATCCCCCTGACCGGCGCGATAAGGTACGCCGCCCCTTGCCGTCGCGCTTGACATGGGGAGTTGCTCACGCTCTTTCTGAAAGCCCATCACGTTCCATAAACGTGCGTACGCCTCCTTCGTGATGGGACGCGGCGTACTGATCTCACTCCTGCAGCTCATCCTGATCCCACATTGCACCCAGTCATGCTGAAGGAGTTTAGCAAGAAGCTCAAGAGGTACTACGGCTGGTCTGAAGAGGATTTTTACAAGGCAACGCAGTGAAGACGGTCATGCACGGGTCTCGTCAACCTGTATTATTTTCCTGCAGCCTACAGTAAGAACATTGCACCTAAGTTGTAGCGTACAGCTGTGTTTCCCTAGTCTGCTTGTTGTAATTCTGGGCCATTTGTTCTACATGAGAAAAGACTATTCTATCCGCGTTGATTGGGTGGGATATATCAGCTGCACTCGATCGAAATTCGGCGTCTGCGCGCTCGGCTGCTCACTGCTGTACACCGACGGACTACGATGGCCGCTCGTCCTCCTCCTGCCCGCCCTCACATCGGCCTCAACCCTTCTCATCGCTTTTCTTCATACGTGACTCCGGACTGGGCTGAAGATGATGCCTGGGACAGTGCCTCTGATTCTGAATCACCTAATGCATCGAGCTGGCACCAGTCTGCTAGCAAGCAGGGAGGATCCTCGTCCGGCACTGCTCCGAAACCTGTACCCAGACCCAAGCTGAACACATCGTCCTCGACACTCGCATTCTCCTATACCCACGTTAGTCATCCCAGCCCAAGCTCATATCCGAGCAGGCAGGAAGTCCAGCTTCCCAAGAACGGCTGGACTATTGTCAGAACGTCCACTGATCAGCGTGCGAGTATCGATGGCCGCGAGCCAGAGAGGGCAGTCGGAGGCGCGTATGACGATGTCGACGGTGATATGGTTGTTGGTGACCTCGAACCTGAAGTCGGACAGCCAGGTGCTGCGCCACACGCTAAACCCAGGCGAGACAAGGGCTCCGTCAGAGATGATGTTGAAGAGATCGTTAACGGTATACTTAGAGCATATCTGCGTGTCTGCGTCGACGTCTCATCCGCAGCCAGATCCACTACACCTCATTCGCCGTCTCCCACCGTCGAAAGGGCTTTCGACAGATAACGCCCAAGCTTCCACTGCGCGCACGGCGAAATTGGATCGAGAACGATCTATACGGACGAATAGGCGACAGAAATTCATTGACTGCGTTGCTTCTGAAGATGTGAGCATGGCGCAGCTACGGAAATTGGCATGGAACGGCGTGCCCAACGAGTTACGCCCAATAGCATGGCCCCTGCTACTTGTATGTTTTCATTACGTGGATGCTTCCATCAACTCTGATCATCGTCCAGGGATACCTGCCGTTACCTGCACATCTCCGAGTCTCTACGCTCGCTCGAAAGCGGCAAGAATACATAGACCTCGTAGAGCGGACCTTCGCGCGCAATCGGGAGGGGCTTGATCAGCAAATCTGGCACCAAATTGAGATAGATGTACCGCGCACGAGGCCTGGTGTACGACTCTGGATGCAAGCAGCGACCCAAAGAGTATAAGCCATATTTCATGCATTCACTTCTGCGCTGAGAATGACACGCAGAGTTTGGAACGGATTCTCTACGTATGGGCTTTGCGACATCCCGCAAGCGGCTACGTGCAAGGCATAAACGACCTTGCAACGCCGTTCTTTCAGGTCTTCCTGTCAGCATATATTGGTATGCCGCCGATGTGTTTGTATCTTCGATGTCTCATGTGCGCTGCGAGCAGATTCGGACCCGGAGGAGTTTGATCCAGGCCTGCTGCCACCGAACATCTTGAATGCTATCGAGGCGGACACGTTCTGGTGCCTCTCACGTCTCCTAGATGGTATTCAAGACAATTACATTGCGTCGCAGCCAGGCATTCACCGAAGCGTCAAGCGCATGGCTGAGCTTGTGGCTCGTATTGATGGTGCGATGACACTGCGCATCACGTTTGTCCGGATTTGGGACTCATACCGAGTCTGTGCAGCACCACTGGCGGCGCATCTCGAGGCAGAGAACGTCGAATTTATGCAATTTGCGTTCCGGTGGATGAATTGTCTGTTGATGCGTGAAATCAGCGTCCAAAATACCATTCGCATGTGGGATACTTACTTGGTGAGTGCGGCTCATCATGATGGAGCGACAAGATGCTGATACTCTGCACTGTCAGGCCGAAGGAACAGATGCATTTTCTCAGTTTCACCTTTACGTGTGCTCCGCATTTCTCGTCAAATGGAGCAAGAAATTGCGCGAGATGGATTTCCAGGCATGTTCTGGTTACATTTTGACTGTATTGCGGACTAATCGCGGAATGTACAGGGCATTATTATGTTCCTGCAGTCCCTTCCGACGCAAGGGTGGACGGATCACGATATCGAAATGCTCCTGAGCGAAGCATTCGTGCACTATTCGACATGGCACAACGCGCAAAGTCACTTTGGCAAGTAGCCGCAGCTCTTGCTGCTTTTCAATCTTTCGGATGCAACGTGTACGATGGCAGAGGGATCAAGTATTTATTAGCGTACATACGGTTCATACTGACTGCTGGTCCATGTGCATAGCAAAATACATGTGACGATAGCAGAACATATCATGGCTCGGATTTGCCGTGGACGAACTCAATCTCGTGGTCAAGGGCAGACTTGAGGTCCTTCGCTTGTTCCTCCGTCTTTGTCTTGATCCTGTATGGCGTCGACGTGCCCTCAGTGTGGCCAATGAACGAAACTACGTTCTTGGCAACTGTGACGTTCATTCCATGATAGAGCAGGAAATTCTGACAACGATGGGTCAGGCTGTGAACGACGGCAATGAGTGCGCACTTACAACCGTAATCTTGCCTGTGCTGCTATTTCTGAGGAGCATGCGTCGAGAGTCTGTCTCCTTGTGCTTCTTGAGGCGAAGCATGCCTACGTTAAAGCACATGCTCAATATGTCTGCAAGAATCACCATTTTAGGGCAGCCAGCTCACCTACACCCAGGTCCTTCCATTCGCTCTTGCCCTCATTCCTGACCATCTTGAACGCCTTGCTACGGATCTCGTGCATCGTCTCCTCGTTCTCCTCTCCCTCTCCTGCCTGGTCATGCACAGATGTAGCTATGAGGGGAGGCTGCGCCTCGTCCTCAGGAGCTTGGTCGGACGTGCTTTCGCTCGATTCCGAAGCTTTCACCGGCACCAAGCTTGTCTCTGCTTTGGACGGGGCAGCGAACGAGAAACCGGCAGACTTGCTCGAGGTTCCCTCCTCTGAGTCAGATGTTTTCGAGGTGGCGAAGCCGAACCCCACCGGATTGCCTATACTCCCGCTCTTGCTCCCGCTGCCGAAGCCGCCAAATGGATTCGACTTGCCGGGAGACGCTGTTCCAAAGGAAAGCCCGGAAGATGAGGGCTTCTCTGGGGTACCGAACGATGGGGTGCTTCCGAAGAGACTCGCGCCGGAGGAGGGTGTGCTGCTGAAGGCAAAGGCTGAGCCGCCGGCCTTCTCTTGCTCCTTCTCCGTGGCCGCGGGCTTGCCAAAGAAACTGGAAGGTGATGGTGACGATGAGGAACTGGGGAATGAAAACTTCGAAGGATCTGAGGGCTTAGTGGTGTCAGTTTTCCCGAATTCGAACGGTGACTCTGATGGTTTGCTCTCCGACGAGCTCGATGAGCTAAATGAGAAGGAGGACGAGGTAGACGACGAGCCGAACGACGGGCTCGATGCAAACGCGGACTTAGGCGCTGCTGATGCACCAGCCGTTGCGCCGGTATTTGAAGCGGAAAATATGAAACCGCCTGACGTTGTTGAGACTTTTGATTTGGCGTTGTCTGTTGCAGAAGAGGACGGAGCACTGGAGGTCGCGAGTGGCTTGAAGCCCGCAAAGCCGGACGGGGCTGTAGGCATAGCAAATGAAGATGACGGCACCGCTGCCTGAGAGCTGGACGATGACGACGACGACGACAAGGTCACTGCATTAGAGCTTGTTGACGGTCCAATTGCGCTAAGTGCCGTGCTCGCGCCACCGGAGGGACGCAGCTCTTTCAACTTCTCATCGTATGTGGTTTTCGCACCCACGCGCAGTGTTTTATACTTTTCCAAAATCCCAGCGACATCGACGAAAGGATCTGCTTCAATCGCCTTTGATATGGCCGAAAGCAGGGATTCGTTGAGCCCACGGAGAGCAACAAGGTAGGTAACCTCCGCTTGTGTTGCTTCATCAGTCGTATTCGCTTCCGTGTTGGCGGTCGGCGACGGCATCACCTGGGTACTTAAGTTGGTAGAGCTCCCAGAGGATGACGGGCCCAAGAATGATGCGAATGTTTTCGTGGCGGCCGAGGCCGTAGGCGCTACTGAGACCCCGTTAGAGGTTGTGGACGAGGGAGAGCTGAACAGCCCGGAGCCTGACGAAGAAGAGGGGTTGAACAATGAGAAGCCATTGCTTGCGGAAGTGGTCGGGGCGGCCGTTGATTTTGGGACTGAGGGCGCGGTGAAGGCGAATGGCGTCGCGCTGGAGGAAGGCGCGCCGAAGCCACTAAAGCCAGAAAATTTGGGAACGCCTGGTGTCTACAGGTTCTCAGCATAACAGCACACCTATGAGTGACTGCAATACACACCTCGGGTGAGGGCGCAGGCTGCACAGGGCGTTCAACAGGTGGTGGTACCGGGGCATTTGCGGCGGCGCTCGCTAACGAACGCTTGGGCAAGCCTCTCATCCTACAGAGTCTCGTAAGTAGTCGCCTCGTTTGACAATCAATGACACGTACGGTCTCCTCGCCAATTCAGCATCGTCCGCCTTCCTGAATCCTTGAGCACCTTCGACCTCCTGAGACCAATTCTCGTGTTAGACGGTCAAAAGGGCAACGAACAGTGGGCTGACCTCAATGTCGTCGTTTTCATCTGCATCGTCCTTCGTGAGTTGTCTTTCTGCGCCGCGTTTCATGGTGATGAGTGAGAGTCCGAGTCGGCAGCAGCCACAATTTGGGGAACGAGGTGAACTGGAGAGTGGCTCATGTAAGGACGTGTAAGCGCTCACTATTGTTGGTCCGATCTCAAGCGAAGCGGATTGGCTCTACTTAAATTAGACAACCTAAGTTAGGGTTGGATCGGCTGACTGCGTAGCTATTCTCATTGTTGGAGGATGATGGGAAGAGTAAGTTTTTATAGGGTGGAGTGAAATACAACAATGCAAGACTGTAAGAAAAGTGCTGGTGGTGCTATGCTACAGTAGTCGTGTGCTTCCTTCACGCTGGAGAACAATCACCCATTTCAACCCGCAAAGTAATAAGCAGGGCCAGCAACGACATGCTGATTAATGAAGCTCAAATTGGCCGGCGTAACGTATGGGTCCGAATCCGTGATCACGACAAAGCTATCGCAAAACGGGTGAGTATTCGGAAAAGCGAAAACGGAGCCACACGAGCACGTACATCGTGCCATTGATAGTCGAGAAGGTGTTGTTGCCATAGATTTCACCACCAGGCTGTGTCGTGTAAGCGGTGTGTCCACTGACATTCGTCAGTGGCGTGTACGTCGTGTTGAGCTGGGAGATCCAGGCCGCGAACTGTGCATGAGAGCAGAGAGATCAGTACTAGCGTTCTTCACACGCAAACAGACGTTTGTGGAGTAGTGGAGTGCGAGTCGAGATAGGCATTGCGAAGAGCAATGTACGGAGATAGAAGCGAGAGAAGAGACGACCCACCTTCGGCTCGCCCGCGGTGGTATTAGTGGTGTACGAGTTGTTTGGTCCTACGGACTTCCCGGGAGATTCCCACGAAAGAGAGATATTTTGCCCAGGACTAGTGAATGCGGTGTGATTCTGCGTGATGGCAGGGAACGAGGCGTTGGTCAATTCTGTGATGTTCGGAGTGTTCTGCGTACGTAAATATTAGCCCACGTAGAATATGGATTGTGCAGACTTACTGTGATATTCAGCGCAGGAAAATTTTGCCATTCTATGCGGGCATTCTCTGCAGGACATGATATAATGTACGGAGCCATCAATGTCCACTGCATGCTTTGTGTGATGGCAGTCGTAAACCAGAACTGCAAGATCACATGTTAACATACCTTCAACTAGCAAGGAAGATGGTGAAAACGCACTGGCATTGCGAACAATCCCTGAAACTGCCTGAATATCATCTCCTGGCGTGCCTCGGTAGTGATGGCCTCCAGTACAAGCTGCGCTGAGGCGCGCGAGTCCAGATGCTCAAGGAATCCGTACGTGCCGGCCTCGCCGAAGCGGGTAACCTATTACTAATTTAGAAAGCGACGAGGTAATTTAGTAAGGGCAGACTCCCAAACTCATTGAACTGAATAAATTCGTGGACCGTTTGGAATGGATACGAGTAGTTGCATGACTTGGACGCGTTGTTTGCTGCCGATGCAAGGTGAGCGCCCTGTTTCCGTGAAGGTCCCGGTGCAGCAACACTTACGCCCGAGCATGTTGGAGATCAGCGTCGCATGCCCCACCTCCTGATCAGCCATGAACTCGATCAGATATCGGTCGGCCGCTGTGATGTTGGCGTCTTCGAATTCTTGCACAGAGAATCGAGCAAGACCATGGTGGAATAAGTCCAACTCAATAAGTTCTTGATTGAGTGCGAGATTCTACGTATTGCTAAGCGGTCTGTACTCATAGGGGTAATCAATACTCACCAGAGATTGATAGTCAAAGTCGCTCAGTGGCTGATACACAGGAGGGGATGAATTCGTTAACAGTCCGCCCGCTGGCGTATACGGCAGGCTTGCAGAGAGCGCAGATGGGACGAGAGCACAGGCCACAAACAGAAGAACTGAGCCTCGCATCGCGATGGATGAGCGGGGAGAAATTCCTAATTGACCCAACCCGATGCTTCACAAGCCGTACAAGTACCCCTCACGCTGGATGGCGCACTCCGTTCCCTCCGACGGGAGAGCGGGTCATGACGTCGACATATGACACCTAAGATGACGGGGAGGACCTGCGGCAAGCGAAGGACCACGGCTCGGCTCGGGCGCATGCGGAGGCAAAGCTTTGGTTACTTCAGCAAATGTTGGTCCGATGACAAGGGTAAACATGTGCGCCACAGGCCTCCTGTGAGGATGAGCAAGCAGCCCTAGCCACAAGCAGAGAATATCGGAGGGGCAGATTTCGGTATTTCGAATGGGTCATGGCGGAAAACCCTAGTTCCACTCGTGATGGCGGCCGCTGATCCAGAAGCCCGACCGCCAGCTACCAGCGGGAGCAACCGAGTCCTCGCCAGACGGCTGGTAGCTACCATATGTCATCCCGCCTGAACCCGCATGGCCTGGCCGAACGAGACTCCTCGGAGTATTCGCAAATTTGTGCGATTACACACTTAATTACAACTGCATCATGTGATTGATTCAGCCTCAATGTTACGGTGGAACGGTTATACACTTACGAGACATGAGTCGGCGGGATGAACGCAGGAGTGGTGCCAACTTCGCTGTGCCGACCCCACGTTAGCGGCGGTGAGAGGCGCCAAAGCTCGATCGATCGACCATTGCCGGCGGCTGCCAGCTTGCCACAGGAGCTGCCTGCCACGGTCTTGAGCATTACATACGGCAATATCCATTCCGCGATGAAATATCTAGCCTTACGTGGATCTTGTCTACCACGTATGGCCGTATTATCGCCACCATGGCAAACATGTGTGCCGACCGGGCTCGTTGTAGTCGGTCGCTAACCACATCAGCAAAACCGGATCCATCATGCAATCTATTACATGACGACACAATCAATGTAATTGAGTGCCATAATTGTACATGAGAGATATGCGATTATCGAGGCAAGTCCGCTTTGGCAATTTCTCAATCCATTGCAATAGGTACAATATTGGTGGCTGTTGGCAAGATGTACATTTCTTGCATCACCTGGCATGAATGTACCACCATTATCTTCCTACACATGATATTATAATGTTACACTTTAATGGTGAATGTGTCACGAGTTGGCATGGCGTCTAGCCGTTTTTTAATTTTTCCTTTTCGCGGGCTCGAACCCGCGACCTCTGTACTACCTGCCTGATACGGACACATCATATCTACTGTACGATTAGATTAGATAAGATGGCAGTGCGCGGCACAGCTCGGGCTCCGCTGACACAGCCTCTCTGACTCACCGGCCCCCGGGGCCGCGTCAGCATGCTGCGCACGGACCAGCTGCGCACGGACCAATGCGCACAGCCTGCCCTTATCTCCCCATGTATATAAGCCGGCCTCTGCTGCCCTAGGGACCTCAGTTTTGACCTCTTGTCCCTAGGTCAGTAAGCTCCTTTGTATCCTTTACTTACCCTTGCTAACTAATACATTTCTTGTCCCTAGCCTTAGGTTTGAGCATAGCTCACCATCGCTTCGGTGAGACTTAGTCGGACGCCCCCAGCATTTGGTTTTCCCCTGTCGCTCGACCCTAAGTGTCGCGACTTGAGGTCAAGCGACTAGAGAAAACCTGAAGGCTAGGGGCGTCCGACTAAGTCTCACCGAAGCGATGGTGAGCTATGCTCAAACCTAAGGCTAGGGACAAGAAATGTATTAGTTAGCAAGGGTAAGTAAAGGATACAAAGGAGCTTACTGACCTAGGGACAAGAGGTCGAAACTGAGGTCCCTAGGGCAGCAGAGGCCGGCTTATATACATGGGGAGATAAGGGCAGGCTGTGCGCATTGGTCCGTGCGCAGCTGGTCCATGCGCAGCATGCTGACGCGGCTCCGGGGGCCGGTGAGTCAGAGAGGCTGTGTCAGCGGGGCCCGAGCTGTGCCGTGCACTGCCGCCCCATCTAATCTAATCGTACAGTAGATAGTGACGCGTCCATATCAGGCAGGTAGTACAGAGGTCGCGGGTTCGAGCCCGCGAAAAGGAAAAAATTAAAAAATGGCTAGACGCTGTGCCAACTCGTGACATTACCCCCCCCTCAATGGCGCATGACCTCATGCAAGGCGCCCTTGCCCATCTCCCACCCGGAGTGGCAGCATGCTTCAGTCAGCGGCGAAGGCATCGGCTGAAAGTTGAGACCACCAAAGGTAGCAGCATTGAGTCGACGAGGGGCGTTTGGATTCTTCCGGTGGAAGTCGGCTATGAGGGCCGGCGCATTGGTAACGTTGCGCGCCGGTTCCCATGATGTATGCGAGTCGTCATAACCCTTCCACTTGACGAGATACTGTAGCTGACGCCGGAAGATCCGCGAATCCTTGATCCGCTCAACTTCGTACTCCTCGTCGCCCTCAACTTCAATCGCAGGCGGCTCCTCCGGCTCCCGGCCCGGGATATCGCTACACGTGTACTTGCTGAGCAAGGAGACATGGAATACTGGGTGCACCGGCACCGACTTTGGCAGGACTAATTCATAATCCAGGTCTCCGAGCTTTCGCCGCACGGCATAAGGTCCAAGGCGCTTGGGACTGAGCTTCTTGCTCGGCTGTTTCAGCTTAAGGTTCCGGGCATCAAGCCAGACCTTGTCCCCCGGCGCAAAGACCGGTGCCTCCTGCACATGCTTGTCATAGTACACTTTCATGCGCTCGGCTGACAGCTCGAGCGCAGAGCGCGTATCGTCGCGAATCTCCTTTAGGATCTTGAGCCGATCAGCGGCCGCAGGCATCACAGACATCGGATTGATCCGCACTTGGATCTCAGGATTGTACCCTTGATGCAGGAAGAATGGGGAGTGCCCGGTTGCGGAGTGAACTCGGTTGTTCAGGGCGAATTCTGCGAGCGGCAATTGCTTTGCCCAATCATCCTGACTGTGGCTTGTGAAAGCACACAGGTACTGCTCGATCTCCTGATTCCAGCGCTCGGTCTGGCCATCTGTCTGGGGGTGGAACACTGTGGACAGCACCGGCTCGATCCCAAGTCCCTTGTACACCGCATGGAGATACTTTGAAGTGAACTGGGGACCTCGGTCTGATATGACCTTGGCCGGGGCCCCATGATGCTTGAACACATCGCGGATGTACAGGTCTGCCGCTCCTTCTGCCGTCAGGGTCTCATGACAGGCCGAGAAGTGGACCTGCTTGGTAAAGCGGTCAGCGGTAACCAGGATCGAGTCAAACCCATCAGACTTCGGCAAGCCAATGATCATATCGGTCGTGATGATCTGCCACGGGCGTTCGGGGATCTCATTCGGCTTCAGCAGACCCTGGGGTTTGGCTGGGAATGTCTTGGTATGGTTGCACACGTCACAGGTGCTTACGTACTCGTTGACGAATTTGGACATCCCAGGCCACCAGTAATTCCGCGACACGAGCTCTAGTGTTTTGGCACGACCACCATGACCGGCGATCGGCGAGTTGTGGTGGATCTTGACTATATCCCGCCGGAGCTCCGCATTCTTTGGGACGTACACGCACCCGCGGAACAGCAGGAGCCCTTGTTCGGCATTCCACTCCTCAAAACCCCTTTGCAGCTGGGGCGGCCCGAGGTCCTGTACCTTTTCAAGGGCCTCGGCCACCTCCCGATCCTTCTCCGAACATTCCCTGATGCGCTTCAGAAGCGACTGATCGGCTGTCACCGAGGCATGACCGCGCCTGGCGGAGGCGATGCGGAAGTGCTCTGGCTTGAGAACCACCTGATCGGTGTTATCATCCTCATCGCCGATCTGATGGTCTGATCGTCGCGACAGGGCATCAGCCTTTCCATTCGACATTCCGGCCTTGTGCGTGATGCGGAAGTCAAAGCGAGCCAGGAATAGCGACCATCGCGCTTGACGACGCGTGAGGTGCTGGGACGTGCGCCAATATTCGAGGTTTTTATGATTGGTTACGATCTCAAACTGATTGGGTAACCCCTCGAGATAGTGGCGCCAATCGTCTAGCGCCTCAATGATCGCGAGCATCTCCTTATCGTAGATCTCGTAGTTCCGCTGCGCCGGATCCATCGCATGTGATCTGAAGGCGATGGGATGCCATTTGCTGTCATCCTGCTTCTGCATCAACACGCCGCCAGTGGCGTACCCCGAGGCGTCAACCTCAATGCGCGTCTCCTGATTAGGGTTGTACAGTGCCAAGACTGGAGTCGTCGCGAAGAGCCGCTTGAGCTCATCGAAGGCGTGTTGTTCTTCTTCGCCCCAATGCCATGGGTCGTTCCCTGTGAGTCGGTCGAGTGGTCACGAGATCTTAGCGAAGTCCTTAATGAAGCGGCGGTAGAAGTTGGAGAACCCCCGGAACTTCTGAACGTCTTTCTTGTTCCGGGGTACCGGCCACTCATTGATTCCTTTCAGCTTCGCAGGATCCATCGCCACCTCATTGCCACCGAACACATAGCCGACGTAGTTGACCTTGGGAACATCCCATTCGCATTTCTCAGGCTTCAGGAATAGATCATTGTCCTGAAGGCGACGAAGAACCTCGCGTGTGACCTTCTCGTGCTCCTCCTTGTTGGTGGAGAAGATGAGTATATCGTCCAGGTACACAAGGATCTTGCCGCCGACGATGAGATCGTGGAAGATCTCGTTCATCATCGCCTGGAAAGTCGCGGGGGAGTTGGTGAGACCAAAGAACATCACCAAAGGCTCGTACAACCCTCGGTTAGTCACGAAGGCCGCCTTCCATTCATCACCGGCCTTGATTCGGACGTTATTGTATCCCCATCAGACGTCGAACTTTGTGAAGAGCGTAGCGCCGCGGAGCTTATCCACCATCTCGGCAATCAACGGTGATAGGCGCCAAGCCCCTCTGGGCCCCGATTCACCTCTTTTCGGCACTCGCATCCCGCCCGGCACTTCGACTCAGTCTCCCAACACTTCGATTTCGCCTTCGATGCTCTTCGACACCTTCGACGGTGCGCGACGCTTACTCAAAGCTCGGCACGGTCTTCCCGATGCCTCGTGCGTAGATCTCAGAACGTCTTCCATATTCGGCGAACAATAGGGCCACTTGACGCCGCTCGGCCAAGCGCGCGCTTCGCTCCAAGCCACACCGAAGTAGCCGGTCTTTCCCGATTAGGTATCGAACCTCGCGGCATGCCTTCACGACGGCTACCGGTCCGAAGTGGCCATATGTTGCTCTTCATCTCCACGTTCAGCATGACGTCACTCTACCGATGGACTTGGTATGTGCCTCTCGGTGAGGCAGGTTCTTGAGGAACAATGCAAAGCCCCTTGTACTCGTATGCCACTCTCGAATAGTCGTAGCGTCCTGTGTAGTATAAAATTGGTCGTACTTCTCTCCAAAAATACAAGATCCGTTCCCCCCCTCGAGTTCAGAGCTCATAAGTCGAGTTCGCCCTGCGTCTACGTCCTCAACTGCGTCACTTTGTTCCTCACTGCGTAACCTCGAAACCTCGTCCACTACGTTCACTCGTCGATACCATCTCGACGAACCTTTCGACTTCGACTATTGTCAAAGAACTGCATTGCACCTCGAACCGCGTCCTAGTTAAGTCCCCACCTATCGAATCGTGTCCCTTCTCTCTACAATACGTCGAAGAGCTCTGCCGAGCTTCGATCGTCGCTAACTTTCCACAGCCTCCGAGTAGCTTCGACGACGTGTCGAAGCCACCTCGTACCTTCCCTAGCGTTCGTAGCCTTTTCCGAAGGCGTTTCTTGTGTTCACTCGAACCGCGGGACACCTTGCTGCTAACTCCCCTCTCATTAGACTATAATCCGTCTCTCTAGTCCCTTTAGGTCGCACCCAGATTAGGGGTTAGGGTTTCGTAGGTCGTATCATTTCTGGAGCCCACCGCGAGGGGATTTCAGGCAAGAATTCGCTGCTTTCGGGTTTCCGAAAATGTCTCCAGTAGTCACCCGCTCGCAAGCGCGTGAGGCTGCTAGCCGCAGCACCGCTGAGAACCTCGACAGCTCCTCTAAAACACAATCGACTCCCTCTCCAACAATTCCCAGTGACTTCGACCGCGACGAAGAAGACGAGATAGACCAAGAACTCCGGGACGACTTCGACGAAGAACCAATCCCTTCGACCGCCGAAGAACGCACTTCGTCCCCCGAGCTTCTAGGCCTCACTACTTCCGACTACAACTTTTCGACTCCTGATCTTTTTGAACGATCCAGTTCTTCACCCGAACCCGAGGATCCCATCCCAGCTACTTCGAATCTCGTACTTCCGACTCCGTCTTCTTTTCGCGCCCATGCTCAGCCACCCATCGCATCCTCTTCGCGACTTTCAGTCATACCTTCATCCGACCTGGCACCTCCGCCACTATTAGCACCTTCGAACGCAGCTTCGAACTCCAACCCCGCACCGCCCGCACCTACGATTCCTTCCACTACTACCTCGTCCTCTTCGAGCCCAGCTCCTATCAACACTACGAACATGAGCCAGAACACGAACACACCATTGATGCCCCCGCGCGGTCATTCGACGGCACCAAGCTTCGACCCGTCGGAAGTCCATTCGCTTCGGCGTTACTTCCAGGACCTCGAAGCATTGTTCACCCAGTGTCAGATTACCGACGAAGCAGCCAAGAAACAGTGGGCCGTTCGGTACCCTTCGATCGACGTCGCCGACTTGTGGGAAACCATCGAGTCCTTCATTGACGTAGCCAAGAGCTACAATGACTGGAAAGCCGACGTACGAGCACTCTATCCTGGCGCCGACGATACAAGAAAGTGGTCGCTGGCGGACATGGACCAGCTCATCGGAGAACGCGCCCGTATCGGGATTCACAACGCGGCAGACCTAGGCTGCTATTACCGCGACTTCATGGCCATTACGAAACATCTCATCGCACAGCACCGGCTCTCCACTATCGAGCAAAGTCGCGCATTTCTTCGAGGATTCCAGCCAGCGTTGCTCACATGGCTCGAGACCCGACTGCATCTCAAGCATCCCGATCACTACGCCGACGACCCGTACACCATGGCAGAGATTCACGCGGCGGCTACGTTCATCTTACACGGTACATCGAGCACACCTACGACAGCGGCTAACCAAGCTACCGCTTCGACGTCGAACACTTCGACAACGGTGCCCCCCGGGATGATCAAAACCAAAGACATCTCGATGATCATCGAAAGCCTGTCGAGAACGATCGCAACACTCATTCAGCCGACGACACACGCTACGCACAACCACGCCCCCGCACCGAGACAACAAGCTGCTGTCCACGTCCACGAGAACAGCGGAGTTGAACAGACGTGCCACTACTGCGGCAATCGTGGCTGCAGGGTAGGCACCTGCGAGTTCGCGGAGATCGACATCCAGGATGGCAAGTGCAAGCGTAACACCGAAGGAAAGATTGTCCTTCCAAACGGAAGCTTCTGCCCCCGCACTATCCCTGGTCTCACGATACGGGATCGAATCTACGAGTGGCATAGAAGAAATCCCGCAGCACCTGCCGCTCCGATGATGCTCTTCGAGATCGACGATCACTCGACTATGCAGACCTTCACGCTCAACACCAGCAGCAGGATTGAGGCGCTCGAGTGAGAACTCCTTCAGCTTCGGAAGCGCAGGGAGGTCTTCGACGGCGTCGAGATTCTACAGCGGAAGAAGCCCACGACGCCAGTCGTCACGAGAAGCGCGGAAGCCTCTGGCTCTGGTACATCGAAAGGAGTGGCGGCACCCTCGAGCACTTCGATAAGCACGGCTCCGCCTCCAACGATACCAGCAGCATCGCCCGTGCCGCCTTCGCCGCCTGTGCAATCCACGTCTCAACCTATCGCTACATCCGCTCCCCCAGCACCACCAGTACACCCCTTTGCAAACGCGCGCAACGCAACCTATGCCCCACCGAACGTTCGAAACTTCGCAACTCCGCCAAAGCCCTCGAACGACAAGGGCAAGGAACCAGCATACAAGACCATCGTCCCCGTTATCCAGCCGAAGCTCGCCGAAGAGATCTTCCAGCGTTCGATGAAGTCGCCGTTCGTCACGCTGACCCCAGAAGAGTTGCTGTCAATCGCGCCCGACGTTCGAAACAAGTACCGCGACGCCGTCACCCCTAAGCGAGTCTCGACGGAACCCGTCGCGTCGGCCCACATCGTAGAAATCAGCGCCGACGACGTCACGGCCGTCAACCAGCTCTCGTGTTCAGGTGCAACGTTGGAACCCGGTGCTACAATCGTCCCCGACCCATATGAAACCTATCTGAAGCACATCCCGCACGGCGAGCACCCCGCAGAATTCACCGTCGCCCGTGATTCGAACGCGATTCGTTCGATCATCGCGTTGGTCGACAACAAAGAGCAGATCGAATGCATCGTCGACCCCGGTTCGCAGATCGTCGCCATGTCGGAAGAGGTCTGTCTCGGCCTCAACCTCCTCTTCGATCCTACTATCCAGCTGAACATGCAATCGGCGAACGGCGAGGTGGACCGATCGCTGGGACTCATTCGAAATGTTCCCTTCCGCATCGGTGAGATCGTATTGTATCTTCAGGCTCACGTCATTCGAAACGCAGCATACGACATTCTCCTCGGCCGACCCTTCGATGTGCTCACGCAGAGCGTCGTCAAGAACTTCGCCGACGAGAACCAGACCATTACGATCCTCTGTCCGAACACCGGCGAAACCGTCACGATTCCGACGTACGCGCGAGGAAGATCGCGAAGCCGGCAGCATCCTCTCGGGTGTCGCAAATCGCATTTTCTCGCTTCGAGGAATTGATTCCCCATGATCAAGGAGAAGCCGCGCTAGTCATCGACTACGATGGGGTAAACCCGAGTATTTCCTTCATCTCTCCTATTGATTCCTCGATTCCGAACGCTGTTTCATCGCTATACCTCTCCGCATGCACCTCCGTTTCATCATATTTGCAGTCTCTTTACGTTTCGGACAGTACAGCTTCTAATGCCGCCCCGTCGAACGCTTCGACATGGGCTTCGACTCTTCTATTTTCAGCTCCGTTCGCTTCGACTCCGCCGGCTCCCGTTCCGACGAAGTCCATCTCACAGCTTTCTAACTCGATTCTTCCCTTTCCTTCGACGACATCGACTTCTACCCCTTCAATGCACAAGATCCTCGCCGCGACAAAGAAGAAATACAAGCCTGTCGCTCTCAAAACCCGACCCGTCCTTGGTGCCGTCCCCGAACAATTTCGAATACTTCGAGACATCAAGGGCGACCCTCTATCCATCATGCCTAAGCTTTCGACCGACCCTCTGCCGTTCAAACCTACCGGTCGGTACACCCGCGAACGCTTCGAAGCAACCGAGAAGCTTCACGACGGCGACTTCCTACTTCCCGAAGAACGTCGAGTCCTCCACCACTTCATGTGCCTGCACAATGAAGCCTTCGCATGGACCGACGACGAGCGCGGATGCTTCAAGCCCGAGTACTTCCCCCCCATCGATTTCCCTGTCGTTCCTCACACGCCCTGGGTGCAGAAGAATATCCCCATTCCGCCCGGGATCTACAACGAAGTCTGCGTGGTGATCAAGCGAAAGATCGCCGCCGGAGTCTACGAGCCATCGAACTCATCGTATCGATCGCGGTGGTTCTGTGTCGTCAAGAAGGACGGTAAATCTCTTCGACTCATCCATTCCCTCGAGCCCCTCAATGCAGTTACGATCCAACATTCTGGTGTACCGCCGACACCCGAATACCTCGCAGAACAATTCGGAGGAAGACCATGTGGCGGCATGCTCGACCTCTATGTCGGCTACGACGAACGACTCATCGCTGAGTCTTCGAGAGACCTAACGACGTTCCAGACACCCTACGGAGCCATGCGCCTAGTCACACTCCCGATGGGTTGGACGAACTCAGTCCCAATCTTCCACGACGACGTCACCTACATCCTGCAGCCCGAGATTCCGCACGTTACGGTGCCCTACGTCGACGACGTTCCCGTCAAGGGTCCCGAATCCGACTATGACGACGAGCGACTCCCTTCGAACCCCGGCATTCGACGCTTCGTATGGGAGCATTTCGAGAACATGAACCGCGTGGTCACTCGAATGCGCTACGCCGGAGGTACCTTCTCTGGAGTCAAGAGCGTCCTCATCGCTCGAGAAATTATGGTGGTCGGACATCGCTGCACTCCTCACAGACGCCTCTCTGACGACTCTCGCGTCACTGCGATACGCAACTGGGGTCCATGCGCTACTCTATCCGACGTTCGAGCGTTCCTCGGGACCATCGGCGTCGTTCGTATCTTCATCCGTAATTTCGCTCACTGCGCCGACGCGCTCATACGCCTCACGCGGAAGGACGTCGAGTTCGAGTTTGGTCCGGAGCAAATCGCGGCGCAGGAAGACCTCAAGGACGCACTACTCTCATCCCCCACCCTCCGAGCCATCAATTATGAGTCCCCCTCCCCCGTCATCCTTGCAGTCGACACATCATTCATCGCCGTCGGATATCACCTCTGCCAGTGCGATGAAGCCAACACGCGAGTCCGTTACTACAGCAGGTTCGGCTCGATCACACTCAACAATCGCGAACGAAGGTTTTCGCAGCCGAAGCTCGAGATCTACGGCCTGTTCCGCGCACTACGATCCCTTCGACTCTACCTGATCGGCGTTCGGAACCTCATTGTCGAAGTCGATGCTTGGTACATCAAGGGTATGCTGAAGAATCCGGACATAGCCCCAAGCGCGAGTATCAACCGATGGATCGTCTCGATTCTCACATTTCATTTCACGCTCGTCCACGTCCCCGGTACAATGCACGGCCCCGACGGTCTCTCTCGACGCACAGCTCAACCTGGTGATGTCATCGAAGACGAGGTCGATGAAGAGTTCGACGATTGGATCGACCAGATGCATTCTTTCGTTCACCAGATTCAGCCCCTCCCGTCCGTCCCTTCGCTTGCCGTCTTCACCAGTGACAGAGCCGAGGACGGCTCGGATTTCAATAGGGAGGAGGATAGCTACGAGCTAGTGCCTCGATCGGAGCAAGCGCAACTCGCAGACGCAAAGCTCGACGACGTGCTCGAATTTCATCGAACGTTAGCAAAGCCCGACGGCATCTCCGAAAGCGTTTACGAAGGGTTCATCAAGTACTGCATGCAATTCTTCCTCGACAACGACACCCTCTGGCGCAAGGACAGTCACGGAGCACACAAGCTAGTCGTCAAGCCCGGCGATCGCCTTCGAATACTTCGAGTGTCACGAGTTGGTACGGCGCCTAGCCGTTTTTTAATTTTTCCTTTTCGCGGGCTCGAACCCGCGACCTCTGTACTACCTGCCTGATATGGACGCGTCACTATCTACTGTACGATTAGATTAGATGGGGCGGCAGCGCACGGCACAGCTCGGGCCCCGCTGACACAGCCGCTCTGACTCACTGGCCCCCGGGGCCGCGTCGGCATGCTGCGCACAGACCAGCTGCACACGGACCAACGTGCACAGCCTGCCCTAATCTCCCCATGTATATAAGCCGGCCTCTGCTGCCCTAGGGACCTCAGTTTCGACCTCTTGTCCCTAGGTCAGTAAGCTCCCCTTTGTATTCCTTTCTTACTTAACTAACTAATATACTATCTTGTCCCTAGCCTTAGGTTTGAGCGCTGCTCACCATCGCTTCGGTGAGATTTAGTCGGACGCCCCCAGCTTTCAGATCTTCCCCTGTCACTTGACCTCAAGTCGCGACATTAGGTCGAAACTCTCCACAGCTGCCGGCGTCCCTCGGGACTCCCACAAACTCACATTCACTTCCTATAGGTTGGGTGGTGCGCACCCTTACTGTACCCTACGATACCTAGATAGCGTACTATACATCGCCACCACTTAGGGAACGAACTCTTCAGTACCTGCACTTCAGTGGGCGGTACTTGTCCTCACGGACGCGTGGCTTAGGTTCCTGCTGCATACTAGCCAAAAGCAGTACTGGGCCCCACGTGAACTGCGAACCCTAGTGTTACCTCGGGCGCCGTAGGTGTAAGCTAGCTAGCACGGCCTTTCGTAGCACGCGCACCTCCCCTTCCTCCCCCCATCAACGTGGCTGACGAATTCTTCGATTGCTCTCGACTTGAGCACGCCTTCGACACCCAGGAGCAGGTCGACGTCTCTCGTGACGACCCAAACAGCAGCGGAGACAGAGCTCCTTTCTTCATCTGTGATTGGCAACCGTGCCCTAATCGCACTCCACGGTCCATCACTGTTGACGAAGGACACTTCGTACCAATCCGACGAGTCCAACACCCCAGTGGCCCTGCACTCCAATACGCTGGCACCTCGAGATCCACATCTCGCCACGTCACTCCCGTCCCATCCCGACCTGCCTCGCCAGGCACCCGCATCCCCCAACCTGTCGCCAGTACAGGTCAAGCGCAAGGAGATCCCCATCTCCCTCGAGGAACTGAGGCAGTCACACAGCCTACAGCAACCCCTCAAGCGATCCCCCAGCCCTCCTTGGGGCCGCGGTTGGAAAGGCCTCCCAAGACCGAGCCCCGCGACACTCCGCCGCATTCTTGGGCCAGCTCGTCGTCAGCGGTCACCGCCTCGACTTCAGTCCCTGTCCTACGTCACCCCGCCTCCGGGCTTCCTCAACTGACTTCACCGCCGTCGCCGCCGCGAGGCCGCTCAAGCACTCGTTCCTCGAGAAGTCCGCCCGGCGGACAGTCACAACAGTCGCCTTCGTCCGCGGGCAGTCCTTCGTCCCCCTCGTCGCCGATAATGTCCTCTCCCGCTGCCGTCCCTGATAAGGAGACGTTGAAGCTCCTCCTCCCGCTCCGATACGATGGGAAGTCGGTGATCGAATGCAACCGCTTCATCTCGCAGTTGCTCATCTACTGGACGATCAACACGGCCCTCTCTTCCCTCGAGCTGAAGATCCAGGTTGCCC